GTGGGAATACGTGCGTTTGAGATGGCTAGGTTGGCACAGGATAGAAGAGCATATAGAACTCTTGTACATAGGGTCGCTATGAGTCACAAGCGACTCGATGGCACATAACAACAACAACAATAACAAGATGAGGTTAAAATGACAGTCAAAAGCTTGATTGGTTCAAGGTTCTACACAGTTTGGTTTTATTTCAAGGGCCACACAAGAAGTTACTGAATGGGCATGTTGTATAAGTTAAAGAGTTCTTTATTTGGTTTTGTTGGTTTTTTTTAAAAAGATCACTCTAGCAGGCATGTGTTTCTCAAAAGGGTAGTTAAAAAATGATTGTGATAGAAGAAATAAAATAAGTGATTGGATTATATTTAAGAAAACAGAAATGCTAAGTGAACATTTAAGAGATGGTCTCAAAGAAAGCAACTGAAATGACAATTTCAAGGGGGAAAATAAAGACAATGAAAGAATGCTTATTTGTTTTAAAAAAACCTATTGGATAAAAAATTCCCAAGTTCAAGAAAGTTCTGAACTGAATAGTTTGATGTTGTTCTTATTGTGTGTCATCAAGTCTAGTAACAACTTCTGGCTGATTCTCCAGAGAATTTTCAAAGGCAGTAAACTGCAGGAGATGAAAATGTTCATCTTTACTCCATGGAGTTTCTGGTGGATTTGAACTACATATCTTTGGGATGGCAGCACAACTTTTTATACTAAGACACCGGAGTTACCCGACAATAAATTTTATCTTCCTATAAACAAGCTTTTCACAAGTAGTAGCTGAATTTAAAAGATCAACTGTATGAAATGCTTCATCTAATTACTAAAAATAACCAAGGGGAGTTTGTTTTTAAATTTACCTGACATATTTTTTCCCAAATTTCATCACATCCAGCTTTTTCTTGAAAGCTGAGAGCCAAGTCATAGTTTTCTGCTTCAGACCACACAATCAAGGTATCCTTGGAAGAGAAGGTGGGGGAAAAAATCTGCGTGAGTAACCTACATTATTATAAAATAATTTAGAAAGTATAAATAGGCAAGTAAACAGGGCAACAACTGAAACAAGTACTGCTTTTTCTTAGGAACTAAAAATACAAAACATCATACCAATGCTATGCTTGTACATTAATTTACATTTTTATGTTTAAACTAAAACAGCAATTTCAAAGGAGCCTTGGTGTAGCGTGTTATGTGTTAAACTAGAGAATAATGGTTCAAATCCAAAAGGAGCTCTGCAAGAGAAAGACAGGCAGTCTCTTCCTACACTATTACATTAACTGTTTTGTTAGGGACCATCAAGCCCCCTCATGGCTGTAGAATTGACTGCTAGCTTTGATCAACAATTTCAAAAGTTCCAATTGTTCCTTTTAACTGACTGAAATCTTAATACAAGCATATAATAATATTCTAGTCTCCATTCACTACAATCAAATCTAAAAGGTCTCTTAAGAATATGAAATGCAACAATGTTATTTAACTTAATTATATTGTATTATTTTTTGGTGGTAAATCAATCAGCATTAAGTAAATTTAGGAATTAACACCAATTTTCCAAACACTATTTATGTGACCTCAAATGAGCCACAATGTTCAAACATCATCTAATGTAGGAAAAAAGCTCATACTAACTTCTTGTTAGTATCACCTACTCCTCATTGCCACTGATTTGGAACCAACTCAAAGCTGACCCTGTAACGGGATTACAAGGCTTTAAATGGTTTAATTATCAATATGAACAAGAAAACAAACTACAAAAATTTACCTCCAGAATACTTATGAAACGAGTGAGACATTCTTTGATCTTAATTATTTCATATCTGCAATTTAAGGGTAATGAGTGGATCAATTATTTACCTCCCTGGTTTTGTAGACCACTCTGTATGTCCAAGCACTAAATAAATGCCATTGGTACTACTGCTATTAAGTACTGAGGAAAAAAAAAAATTAATCTTAATAGCTCTCACAAATTAAAAAACAAAACAAAAACATCTAAGAAGGTATACTTAAATTGAGCTGGAATTGACCCACAGCTGACCTTACAGTGGATTTTTTACAGCTAGCAAGTCACTCAGCCTATCTTCCCTTGGTGCAGTGGATAGATTTCAACCAAATGCCTTTGGGATGGCAGGGCAGGTCCTAACCTTGGCAACGGCACAAAGGATCTGCACTTAAGTATTACTAGACAAACTACCACATCAATGGTCGTCTTTTGTTGTTATAAGAACAAGGAAATTATGTGCCACTAAAAGTCAGTGCTAGAGTAAATGAAATCTAATTCAGCTAAGTTTGAGACAAGAATTTAAAAGTTAAAATGACTGATTAATACACTAAAGAAACTGGCAGAAATGTTTTTTTAGAATTAGACTGTAAAAGCATGTTTAATTTCTTTTTAATTTTACATTCTAAAGAACAGAATGGAAATTATCATTTATTTACTCTTCAGCAAGATTAATAATTGAGATGAAACACTTCTTAAAAATGTTACCTGTTGTTTCTGGTATGCAGTGTTAGGGTTGATTTTGGACTCTAAAAGCAGAGAACCTAGGAAAAAGAAATAGAGACAATATTCTATTAAGTCACTGGGAAACAACATTATAAACACATTTTACATTTGATGTATTCAACTTCCCATTTTTAGTTATGATTTTTCCTTAGCTTGAAACAAAATAGTATGAAACTAGGTGGTCTGGATTTAATATACTGTGTCACTGAAAGAACTACATTTAGAAAACTCATTTCTTTGTGAGAAAGAATTCTTAAGAGTACTTTTCTCTTCCTCTCCCCCTCATCAACTAGTTTTTTATTCCCTTGAATAAAACAAGTTGTGGCCCAAAATCTTTGGGGAGAAGCAGTCTTCTCAAAGCTGCCTCTAATTCAGAGCTTACAATCTTTCTTACATTGTTTGTTACCTGCACAGATCTCTACCAAATATAACCAGGCAATTGAAATAAGCCACACCTAACACTACCAAATTAGTTCACTTTTATGATAAAATTACCATACAAGGCTGACATTTTCCCCTATTAGTGATTTAATATTACATGTTCAGGATTCTGCTTGAGTGATACTGGTACTTGCAAAGCCATCATGACTTTATATTCTGTGCACATGAACATTAATTCCAAAATCTATTAATCTGAATTCTCCCATCATGTGAAGCACAAGAGTGATGTTAGCCTAATGGTTAGCTTTTCTTAGCTATTAGTTAGCCCTCTCAGCATGAGGTGTGGGACTAGGATAAGAGAAAAAATGCTTCCCACACTGGGCAGCAAGACCCTGGTAAGAATGAGATCTCGGTGGTGGTGAAACTGTGGCACTGCAATGGAGAAAAGGTAGCAACGTTTGACCTGAGGCTTCTTGCATTTGTGTTAACCATACTTAAAAGTTTGGCTGTTCTTGCCAGCTGTTTGATTTGGATTTAACCGCTGAAATAAAACCGGAGCCTGGACTTACTGTGGAATTGCAGCTTAGGACTATTGGGATAAACTTAGACTTGTACTGTGCAGTATTTTTTATGCACCCTCCCCCAAACTTACTTCCCTAATAAATCCCATTCTTGGTACCACAATTGAGAGTCTGTGAAACAAATAAATGAACCTCTTGTAAAAGGTGAGACTCTACAGGTACCACAGGGGCTGGACTACTGGCTCTCTAATGGCTTCCGACAGTGATGGGCTGTGCTATTCTTACTCCCACTGGCCCTTTCAGGGAGCTGACTCTCCAATCCCATATACCCAATTATTGGTTTTTCCTCTTTAGACAAGTAACATGTCAAACCTCTCTTACTACTAGTTTTAAGCTCACTGAATATTGTCTGTATTTCTGTCTATCTTTCCTCCCTCATAAGGAGCTCAATACCAGTCAAAACAAGGTAAGGGATGAACTGTGGAACAGACCAATTACTCCTATGCAAGTTCAAGTGGAAAAAGAGGGGAAAGGAGGAGAAAAGTTCTCAAGAATCAAGTTATAGATCACTGCAACAACAAATTTGACAAAATGAATATAAATGACTAAAGACCAGAAAAGCTGTGGATTTCACCACGGACTTAACACATGAAGAACGCAAAAGGTAATTAAAAAGAAAGGGAGGTCCAAAATAGATTTCAGATTAAAACTAGCTGCTGAAGTTAGTGTTCCAAAAACAAATGGAATACATAACAAAAGCAGAAACTTCACAAAGAGATTCCAATCTGCAGCTGGAGAAAACAAGCTATTACAATGAAATGTACAAAGACCTGGAGGTAAAAAATTAAAGAGAAATTAAGCTCAGCAACCCAAGTTGAAAGAACTGAGAACTTTTGAAGTTGCAATACTTAAGGAATTTATGAGCAAAATACTGAATGATGAAACATCAACATAAATGGAAAGAATAGTCGTTGCAACAAGAGAAATGGTTGATGATCAATCATTTCAGGAAGGAACATATAATTAACAATCAACAGTAATGAAGGAAGATGCCCAAGCAACACTGAAGGAAATAAACAAGCCTCCAAAAATTGACAGAACACTAGAAGAATTTTTTAACAAAAAGATACAACTCTGAATACTATCTCTTTATCCAAAGAAATTCTGAAGATAGCAACCAAAATATCCCAATCTGTACCCATTGCAAGAAAAGTGCTTTATTGGAACATAGGTATTATTAAACAATATTATCCACAAGTTAAAAAAAAAAAGCCACAGCAGTACATGAATACAGAACTGCCAGAAGAAGTCTGATTTAAAGAAGGGTGGAATGATAGGTATCATTGTTGATGTGATACTTGAAAATAGAAAATCCTACAATGTGATTTACCAGTGTTTTCCTGCTGGTGTAAATAACAAATTATGGATGAAATGATCAGTGATAATTCCAGATTGTGTTCAAGCAAAATCTACATAGAGATAAGAGGGAACAGTTCAAACAGAACAAGGAGATACTATGATTTAAAGTCAGCAAAGGAGTAGGGCAAGCTTGTATCCTTTGTATGCAGAACAAATAATCTGAAAAAATGTACTATATGAAGAACAAAGCATCAGATTGAAGGAAGAAACTGTGATATGCAAATAACACAACCTTGACCTGCTGAAAGCAAAGAGGACTCAAAGCACTTATCCAAAAGGTACAGCCTTCAGAATAGATACATGTCAACAAGAAGAAAACACAAGCACCCGGCCCCTGGGGAGAACCCTCCCTGGGGAATGCTGCCTGGTGTGTAAGCCACTTTATCTAAGCCACTTTCCTCTGTCTCTTCCTCCAGTAGCCCTGTAAGTAACACCTCCAAAGCCCTTTTCTTTGTAACTCCCAAGTTTGTTCTTTCTGGGTTTGCTCCCTTTCCTATAGGTAACCTAAAAACTGAGTCTTGTTTCAGAACCTGAACTCTGAGCCCAGTTCCACAGACAAAAGATAAATGTAACTGCCAGCTAAGGAAGTGAAGGTGGATGGAGCCTCAAAGTTCAGCCAGCCACTCTCACTGGACTCATTCAAGCAAACATCTTGCAGACCAGAGGGCAGAAAATGTAATGAAAATATCTTCTAACTGAACAAGAAGGCACACAGCTTCAACTCAAGACTACCATTAAAATGTTAAAGTGGGCCCCGTTCCCCTCCATCTCAATGCCCCTGTTCAGCATGAAGCAGCCAGCGTCTGCACCCCTATTCCCAAATGAAAACCCACAAATAAGAGAGACAATCTCTTAAAAAAAAAAACTAATCACCATTGCACCATGCCCACCATTATTACCCTGTCTCTTCTGGTCCCTGCTGGGTCTTCCTTATTTCCTTTACCCACTCCCTCTATCCACCAAATGGTGCAACCCTGTGATTTCATCTCTACTCTCCTTACCCTTCTGCTCCCATGCCTTACCCGCTTGGATCCCATACATGGTTTTTTACAGTAAAAAAAAAAACCCCAAAACTACAAAAGCAAAAAACTACAAAAAGCTTTTTTTTAAAAAAGCAAAAAGCAAAGATAACACCTTGAAGCCTACAACCAAGCGAGGAAGAAAAACTGGTGCCTTTCAGTTATGGTGCTGGTGAAGAATATGCTATCATGGACTGTCAGGAGAATGGATGGAGAAGTGTGGCCCTAGTGAAGATGGTGACGTTTATTTTTGTGCATTTTGACACTATCAAGAGGGACCATGTCCCTGGAGGAAGACACCATTCTTGGTAAAACAGAATTATCAGCTAGAGTTCTAGACTCTGAGAGAGATGGTCTGATCCAATGCTAGTATCACACAGCACTGATAAGGAGCATTGTGCAGGACCAGGTAGTGTTTCCTTCTGTTATACACAGGGTCACTGTGAGTGGGAAAGGATTCCATGGAACCTAACAAGAACACATTCATAAGAAGTAGCAAGTAACAGAATGAATTAATATTGAGAGCTCCCTTTATCTCTGTAAATAATCTTTTAATATGGTTTTGCTGAACTACTAATATGACAGTTTTTCATGGAAAGTAGCCCTCATGGAATAATACCTAACTTATCAAACTACTTTCCAAAAAGTTGGCAGCTGGAATATACTAGCCACTATGCATGAGAACGGCATAGGAGTTCTGGTGGTCTTGTGGCAAGCAGCTGTGCCACAATCCTGAAGGCACGTGGTTTGAGGCTTCCAACTGCTCCGCGTGAGAAGGATAGACAATCTCCTCTCATGTGATTTACTGCCTCTCAAAACCTCCAGAGGATCAGCTATTGGTCAGCTCCAACTCTATGGTACACAACAATGCATGAGAAAGATGGGCAGTCTTTTCCTCATAATGAAATGCAACCTTGGAGATGTCACTATGAACAAAAGCAACTAAAGGGCAATGGATCTGATATGACATTTATTTTCCATGGAAATCAAAGTATGTCAGCTACAGTATGGGTCAAACATACTTTTTTTTAAGCTGAGTCAAGGGATATAATTACACTTAAATCCTGTTCTCAGTACGCCAATGTTCACAGCTGCATTATTCAGCATTGCAAGAACATGGCAACAGCCCTAACGGCCAACCACAATGGAATGGATTAAGAAATTATGGTACATTCACATGACGGAATACTATGCAGCACACTGGAGCAATGATTTTTTAAATTACTATCTAACGTGGGAGGGACTGAAGAGCATTATGTTAAGTGACTTGGTTCCCTTAAGGATGAATATCGTGTAAGACCATTACTGTAGACGGTGTATGAGGATCCAAGGGTGGGGGGAGGAGATAATCATACAGTCACACAATTTGATGCATGGAGGGAGGTGAGGGGTGAAGGGGAAAGAGCTGGTGTAAGAAACAATGTACACAAACTTTATAAATAGACCAGTATTAAAACTAAAAATAAACCCAAAACTATTTTCTAATAAATAGTTTATATTCCTAAAACCTATTACTGGGCTACAACCCAGTCTTCATAAAGAAGTAATCTCTAGAAAATCATGTAACCTTTAGAGTGACTCAAAGAATTTATAAAACCCATTTCAGAAGAACCAAGAAGTCTACTCACATATAATTAAACTAAGTAATGGGTCTTTAAATATAAAATTTACCCAGCCTTTCCAATTCTAG